ACGCTCTGACACTCGCTCGCACGCACGCTCTGACACTCGCTCGCACGCACGCTCTGACACTCGCTCGCACGCACGCTCTGACACTCGCTCGCACGCACGCTCTGACACTCGCTCGCACGCACGCTCTGACACTCGCTCGCACGCACGCTCTGACACTCGCTCGCACGCACGCTCTGACACTCGCTCGCACGCACGCTCTGACACTCGCTCGCACGCACGCTCTGACACTCGCTCGCAAGCACGCTCTGACACTCGCTCGCACGCACGCTCTGACAATCGCTCGCACGCACGCACGCTCTGACACTCGCTCGCACGCACGCACGCTCTGACACTCGCTCTGACACTCGCTCTGACACTCGCTCACACGCTCTGACACACGCTCTGACACTCGCTCAGACACTCGCTCAGACACTCGCACACACGCTCTGACACTCGCTCACTCGCTCTGACACTCGCTCACTCGCTCTGACACTCGCTCTGACGCTCTGACACTCGCTCTGACGCTCTGACACTCGCTCACTCGCTCTGACACTCGCTCACTCGCTCTGACACTCGCTCACTCGCTCTGACACTCGCTCACTCGCTCTGACACTCGCTCACTCGCTCTGACACTCGCTCTGACACTCGCTCTGACACACGCTCTGACACTCGCTCACACGCTCTGACACTCGCTCACACACTCTGACACTCACTCGCTCGCTCGCACGCTCTGACACTCGCTCATACACACACTCTCCACGCACGCCGGCCGAGACGATCGTCGCCGATGTTGGTGGCCGTGAGCGGGAATGGAACTCGTGTCCGCCGGGTTCCTAGCGCAGAGTAGCGCTAACCGCTGCGCCACCGCTCCCCACGCCGCTGCCTACAAACGTTTGTTCGCATCACCTGTAAGCGCACTAACAGAAACGGTCTTTAACCGGTTCGTACCGGTTTACTGCAAGTACAAAAAACTTTCTGGAGCGGTAAACACGACGCGTGTTACCACGGTGGGGGTGCAGCGGCGAGCATAAACCGCTTCTGTTCCTCACTAGAACTCCACCGGAATGATTTACTGGTCCCTGACTTTATGAACAGGTAACCGGTTCTTTCGCACCGCTCGTAAACAACCGTCCTAAATCGGGAGGTGCGGGGGAAGGACAACAAACTAAAACACGAAAAGAAGTTGAAAAATAAATGAGTTTTCATTCTCGGTTTAAAAGCGCATCGCTCCGGTGGCTTCCCAATATGGGAAGAGCGTTCCAGACGTCCGCAGAAGCGCATCTGTGAGCGCGCGATGTGGCATCCGTCTTTGTTCGATGGCCAGCCAAAAGGCGACGCAGCAGCGAGAATGACCAGAGTCCGATCGTCCCCACAGCACGGGGCTGTTGCCGCAAGGCGCTGGTGCCTTGAGCACCGACACGCGGCAGGCCGCAGCAGTTCCACAGCAGCGGCCTACGATGGTGGCCGTGCGATACCAAACAACTCATCTGCAGTGCAAATTCCCTGCTGACCGAGCAATCTTAAGAGCCGTGGCAGCAAAGATCCCCCGCATAGCCTCAACGGACTATTGGGGCAAGTGCTGTTAGCGAGCACCTATGAAGGCCGGCAACGGCACACGAGGAGATGGGTGGCCAACACCACGCCCGGCTGCCTTTGTCTCCCGAGTGGCGATGTTTACACACTGGGCACTCATTTGAGGCCGAGTCGACCTAGGGGAGGCTCAGGACCAGTTCAGATAATCGTCACCGACGTTGGCCGCGAGCGGGAATCGAACCCGGGTCGCTGGGTTCCGAGCGCGGCGCGCTAACCGCTACCCACACACGCGCACAGTTACACACACACACAGTAACACACGCGCACACACACAGTAACACACACGCGCACACACAGTAACACACACGCGCACACACAGTAACACACACACACAGTAACACACACACACACACAGTAACACACACACAGTAACACACACGCGCACACACAGTAACACACACGCGCACACACAGTAACACACACACACACACAGTAACACACACGCACAGTTACACACACAGTAACACACACACACAGTAACACACACGCGCACAGTAACACACACACGCACACACAGTAACACACACGCGCACACACAGTAACACACACGCACAGTAACACACGCGCACACACAGTAACACACACACAGTAACACACACGCGCACACACAGTAACACACACGCGCACACACAGTAACACACACGCGCACACACAGTAACACACACACAGTAACACACACATGCACACACAGTAACACACACACAGTAACACACACACGCACACACAGTAACACACATGCGCACACACAGTAACACACACGCGCACAGTAACACACACGCGCACAGTAACACACACGCGCACAGTAACACACAGTAACACACAGTAACACACGCACACAGTAACACACAGTAACACACACAGTAACACACACACAGTAACACATACAGTAACACACACAGTAACACACAGTAACACACACACGCACACAGTAACACACGCACACAGTAACACACACGCACACAGTAACACACACACACACAGTAACACACACACACACAGTAACACACATACAACAACCGCCATTCGCCACTAAGTGGCGGTGACGTCACCACGACGCTTGTGCCAGGCAAAGTGCACCTTGAGGCCACGTGAAGTGTCGAACGCCCGCTGGCAGGAGGTCACGGAGCAGACCCAGCAAGTGCCACGGGTCGACTGACCGAGATGACCGAGATGACTGGCAGATGCACCACCTGTGCCCCTTACTGTACCAACTTGCTGTGCTTTAGCCACCCGGCACTCCGCTCGTTGTTGTGAGCGTCGCTCCTCCGCCCTCTGTTGTTGTTGGAGGGCGACTGCCTCCAACTGCCCAGTAGCGTCCTTCACGAGCCTCCTCCACTGAGGCCGATCTTGACACCGCTGGTACCAGTCATCGGCAAGTTCACTCAGCTTCTTAGTTCTTTCGGTAAAGTCACGTAGAAGGGAAGTAATAAAATAATAAAAATAAAACATAATAAAATAAAATAATTCTCACGACGTTTCGGCTACAACGCAAGCAGCCGTCTTCAGGTGAAGAATGAGACAATGCCAAGCTAGGAGCTTATATATAAGCTGCGTTGGAGGTGGAGGAAAGAGCGCCTTAACAAAAGAATGTGCATGTGAAGAGGAATTTAGCATATTCATGGGAAATGCGTAGGAGGTGGGCGGGGGGGTTTCAAAGTCATATTATGCCCATGCATTATGCATAATGCATGGGCATAATATGACTTTGAAACCCCCCCGCCCACCTCCTACGCATTTCCCATGAATATGCTAAATTCCTCTTCACATGCACATTCTTTTGTTAAGGCGCTCTTTCCTCCACCTCCAACGCAGCTTATATATAAGCTCCTAGCTTGGCATTGTCTCATTCTTCACCTGAAGACGGCTGCTTGCGTTGTAGCCGAAACGTCGTGAGAATTATTTTATTTTATTATGTTTTATTTTTATTATTTTATTACTTCCCTTCTACGTGACTTTACCGAAAGAACTAAGAAGATGAATCCCTGCAGTCACGAAAGCTTTAAATCGAAAAAGTTCACTCAGCTCCACGTCCTCCTGTACCACATCACTCCATCTCTTCTCTAGCCCGTGCCGCGCCCGTTTAGCCCCCTCGATCCGGCCGAACAAAAGCTGTTTAGGCATGCGGTGGCTGGGCATGCGGGCTACATCACCCAGCCAACGCAGCCTTGCCTGCCAGAGGAGCTCACCGATGGGATATTGCCCAGATCTTTCAAGGATTTGTGAGCTCCTCACACAATCCAGCCTGGTTAAACCCAGGATGGATCGTAGGCAGGCCAGCCTAAATGTTTCCAAACGGCGAAGATGCTCCATTAGGGGGGTCCACGTTTTGCAAGCGTAGAGAAGGGAGGGAATGACCGTGGCCGAGAAGACCTAAAGCTTCGTGCGGAGCGACAGACCAGGTAGCTTCCACACAGCGTTACGCAACCGATGAAAAGATATTGCCGCTCGACTGATTCGGAGTGAGACCTCTGCTGATAAACTGGAGCCGGTCATAAGCACACTGCCCAGGTATGGGAAACTCTCCACTCTCTCCACAACTGCCCCATCACCGATTGGGAGTTGTGGGAGTGGAGTGTCTGATGGTACAAAATACCCAGGCAGGTGCTTCGTTTTGGTGGGGCTGATGGTAAGGCCCCACCTCTTAGTGGCACGCTCCAGTCTCAGCAGCAGCGTCTCCAACTCCTCTTCTGGATGAGCAGCTATTACCAAATCATCGGCATACATAACGTGGTTGACCAATAGGGAGCCATCCCTTGATCGCACGCGGGCGTCGATCAGCCTCCCATTATATCTGTACCAAATGGAAATTCCCCCGGTACAGCTATTGAAGGCTTCACGAACTACGCAGTCGACATAGATGTTAAATAATGTGGGAGCCAGAGGACATCCCTGTCGCACCCCAAAGTGTACAGGGAAAGGCTCCGACTCCCGGCCACGTAGTTTTACCCACACACACACAGTAACACACACACAGTAACACACACACAGTAACACACACAGTAACACACACAGTAACACACGCACACACAGTAACACACGCGACCACAAACGGCCGGCTCGCTTCTGAACAAAACCACGTGGGACTGATGAACTTGGACCGCCGTCCCGGCACCGACCGTTTTGACCGAACTGAAACGCGAGCGCCGCCGAGCCGGGCGGCCGCCGCGACGCGTCCACGCCCACGGGTTGCCCGCACCAGCTGCACGTAGTTGACCTCTCCCTTGCTGAACCTTTGCAGCGCCTGCAGCGCCCGCTCCTGGATGGGAAAGGAGACGCCCTGCAGCGTCTGCTGTTTGCTGTCCACGCTGATGTCAGTCTTCACCTGCACGGGGAGGGTGGCGTTGGACGGGGAGGGGGAGGAGAGACGGGGCGGGCCGCGCCGGGCGGGGTGATCTCACTCGCGCCGACTCACGCTGCTCTCCCAGCAGGGCACCACTGTGTGTCTGCTGTGCGTGGATGTGCGTGCCTGTCTGTGCGTGCGTGTCTTGTGCATGTCTGTGTGTCTGCTGTGCATATCTGTGCGTGAGTGGATGTGCGTGCATGTCTGTGCGTGCGTGTCTGTGCGTGAGTGTTTGCTGTGCGTGTCTGTGTGCGTGTGTCTGTGTGCGTGTGTCTGCTGCGTGTGTGCGTCACTGGGGAGCGGTAGTGTTCGGGGTTTGGCGCTGCGCTACGAACCCGGCGACCCGACTTCGATTCCCGCTCATGGCCAACACCAGTGACGAATATCTGAACTGGTCCCGGGCCTCCTCTCCTAGGTCGACTCAGCCTGAAATGAGTACCTGGTGTGGTAGGTGTGCGTCTCAGGTACTGTGCCGGTCTTCATGGCTGCTTGCTAACAGCACTTGTCCCAAGGCTCTATCAAGGGTACCAGGGGGAGCTTTGTCTGCGTGTCGCTGTTCCTTCCAGTGCCTCCCCATGCCTCCGAGTGTCTGGCGGTGTCTCTGCTCCTCCCTCCCTGTTCTTCGCTGCCTCCGTGTCGCTCCCGGCATGCCCTCATTCCAACCGCGTCTCCCCGTTCCTCTCGGTGCCTCGGTGTGCCTCCCCGTGCCTCCCCGTGTGCCTCCCCGTGCCTCCCCGTGTGTCTCCCCGTTCCGCATTGTTCCTTCCTGTGTATGGCCGCATCTCCCATTTCCTTCCCCACGCTTCCCCCCATCTCCCCGCGCCTTCCCACTCCTCTGCACATCACCCCAGCGCCTTCCCACTCCTCCCCGCGTCTCCCTGCCCCTTCCCCACTCCTCCCCGAGTCTCCCCTGCTCCTCCCTGCGTGTCCCCCGAGTCTTCCCCACGTCTCCCCGAGTCTCCCCACGTCTCCCCACGTCTCCCCACGTCTCCCCACGTCTCCCCGAGTCTCCCCTGCTCCTCCCTGCGTGTCCCCCGAGTCTTCCCCACGTCTCCCCGAGTCTCCCCACGTCTCCCCACGTCTCCCCACGTCTCCCCGAGTCTCCCCTGCTCCTCCCTGCGTGTCCCCCGAGTCTTCCCCACTTATCCCCGCGTCTCCGCCACGTCTCCGCCACGTCTCCCCACGTCTCCCCACGTCTCCCCACGTCTCCCCCCGTCTCCCCACGTCTCCCCGCGTCTCCCCACGTCTCCCCACGTCTCCCCACGTCTCCCCACGTCTCCCCGAGTCTCCCCGAGTCTCCGAGTCTGCCCCACGTCTTTCCCACGTCTCCCCACATCTCCCCACGTGTCCCCACGTGTCTCCCACGTCTCCCCGAGTCTCCCCCGTGTCTCTCCCGTGTCTCTCCACGTCTCTCCCGCGTCTCTTCCGTGTCTCCCCCACGACTCCCCCCCCCCCATGTGTCCCTGCGGCTGCTCTCTCACCTCGTTGAGCTTCAGCTTCTGTAGCTCGGCCTCGGCGGCCGTGAGGGGGTTGGGCGCGTTGCTCAGCTTGAGGTGCTTCTTGTATCCGGAGAGACTCACCTCCTCCTGTAGGTGAGAGGCACCAGTTCGTCACACACCGCGTACAACACAATTACCATCACATACAACTATTACACTCCACAATCACCATCATATACAACTACTATACTACTCATTCACCATTCTATACAACTACTATTCTGCACAATTGCCAAACACACAGTGGGCCTGTATAATTGGAGTTTACGTGTCTCTCTCTCCCCGTGGTCACGGAGATTTTTCACCGGGTCCTCCGGTTTTTCCCTCATCCACATTTGGAATCAACGTCACGCGTTTAAAGTACACTGGTACCTTGGTATACGTCGTTAATTCGTTCCAGAAGGTAGGACTTATACCGAAAATGACGTCTACCAAACGAATTTTTCCCATAAGAAATATAGGGAAAGGAAATAATCCGTTCCAGAGTATAAGAAATGATATTATATATGGCATATTATACATTAATGGGGTTGTATAAAATAACATAGACACCACTTATTACTAAAATGCATACAGAAATTAAAATAAATTGAAATAAAATGTAACATCACTTTACCTTGCTGAGAGGAGTTGATAGCCTACGAGGATGGTGGTGAGGAACGGGAGGAGTGGTGAACGGGGTCTACGTGGGTACGCGGTGACTCATCCCGACCCATACAAGTTCTAGCAAGCGCGTCGTATCCCAAGCAAGACGTCGTATCCCAAGACATTTTTTTCTCGTCAAAACACGACGTATACCAAACTCGACGTATTCCAAAGCGGTCGTATAGCGAGGTACGACTGTATTTGGCTGCTGTGAATGCCCGTGCGGTGACGACACAAGCCACCTCGTTGAGCTATCATTTGTGATCGCCGGGTGCGCTTCTCAAAGAGAGCTACGTAGGCTCTTTGGGCCTTTACCTGGTAAAATAAAAAAAGTTCAAATCAGTCCGTTCCAATAAAAGTCGCTGTCAAGAAACTGCCAGCACAGGTCTCTGTGAGTCCGAGTGAGTGTAGGAACCCAGAACCTCCGATTAGCACGGCTGGCTACGTACGGTACGAAAAGTTCAACACACTGTACATACATAGCCTCACGCAGAGGCCCACAGACTGACGCAGAGGCCCATAGACTTACCCATAGACCCATACTCACACAGACCCCATAGACCCATACTCACACAGACCCACTCACGCAGAGACCCACAGACTCACGCAGAGACCCACAGACTGACGCAGAAACCCATAGATTCACGCAGAGATCCATAGACTCACACAGAGACCCATAGACTCACACAGACCCATAGACTCACACAGAGACCCATAAACTCACACACACCCATAGACTCACACAGAGACCCATAGACTCACATAGAAACCCATAGATTCACGGAAAGACCCATAGACTCACGCAGAGACCCACAGACTCACGCAGAGACCCATAGACTCACGCAGAGACCCATAGACTCACGCAGAGACCCACAGACTCGCACAGACCCACAGACTCGCACAGAGACCCATAGACTCATACAGAAACCCACAAACTCACACGGAGACCCACAGACTCACGCAGATACCCATAGACTCACGCAGATACCCATAGACTCATGCAGAGACCCATAGACTCATGCAGACTCATAGACTCACACAGAGACCCATAGATTCACAGAGATCCATAGATTCACAGAGACCCATACTCACACACAGAGACCCATAGACTCACACAGAGACCCATAGACTCACATAGAGACTCAGACTCACACAGAGACCCATAGACTCACACAGAGACCCATAGACTCACACAGAGACCCATAGACTCACACAGAGTCCCATAGACTCGACCGAGAACTGTCGCGGATTGCCTGTGCTCCTTTCATGACGGTCGCCCCACCACAGCACGTTGCACAGGGCTCGTGTTTCCGTTGCAGTAACATCATCATAACAAAACGTACAAAAAATTGGTGTCTGAGTATACAGGGTCCTTATGCGAGTACAGGAGGCTCTCGGTTCGGCGTCAATGACGGGGAGGACAGCCGCGGATAATTATAAATCGCGGATGATTAAAAAAAAAATATCCATTTTCCGTGGATCTCTCTGCCAAAAACCACCAATATGGGTATAGATTACGTTTAAGGTGAGAACATTGAGTTTGCGCAGTAGGGAACACTTTCCTGCTCCCACACAGAAGGCTGTAAGTGGATAGCAGAGCCACGCCAATCAAGCGCCACCCAATGTTGTAAAAAATATGCAAATACAGAGACTCCTCTACTTACGAACATTGGACTTATGAACAGACATTGTCCGTATGTCCAGTTGCCCGTTCGGACCGAGAGTCGTAAATTCAACCGCCGCACAATAGATGGCGGTGGTGGCATCTACATTTGCAAAACGTGAAGAACCAGTGGCATCTACATCACACAAGAGATGATACAACTTTTAAAGCCATTCCCCGTGTTTAGTGTACACGCCGTACAACACGTTTGGAATCGACAGGAATAAAGTTGGACTTGCAAACAAATCGACTTACGGACAGACCTCTGGAACCGAACTCGTTCAAAAGTAGAGGAGACACTGTATTGTACTGCAGAGGCAATCGATGGGTTTCAGATTAACCGGAGCACCCATATTTGTTCGGTTTTAAGAACGCGAGACTTGTAATACACAATTCCAAGAATAACGACGCGTAACCGTTTTTAGATTATTAATTTGGGCTTGAGGGGGAAATAATCCACGAGTTGTTCATTCGTGTCTACACCTCAGGTGCGCGCGGTTAAATCCGCCAATCGGATAAACTGCACGCGGACAAATCTGGAAGTCTACCGTCTATGATGCTTCATGCGAGTCTATGGGTCTCCTCTATGGCTCCCTGTGTGAGTGTAAAGGGGGGTCCTCCCCGCCCCCCCCCCCCTTGCGTGAGTTTAGGGGTCTCTCCTCCACTCCGCCCATTGCTCTCTTGCCCAGTCTAGCCAAGACCCCCAAAAACTGTGGGTGCCATCGCCTTGCTCGGAAAAATGCTCGGAACTCTCCGTTTCTTTTTCTCGTTGCTTCAAAATTTGGCAGCAAAGGCAACAAGAAAAGCCGTGAAAGGCGAAAGAAATAATAATGTTAAATGGGAAGAGAATTACGCTCGCACACGCCACGCGTACGCACGGCTGGGAAGGCGACTCGTTGGTGTGAATCGGTTCGAAATGTCAAAAAATTCACCGTTCGCGATGAACGCAAATGAACACGGCAGCACGCGAGACGCACAATGCGAATGAGACGGTACAGACGGGACGGGCAATATAAATCAAGGGGTAAAAAACTGAGAATTGGCGACGAACCTTTACATTCCTGATACACACACGCATGCGCGAGCGTGCAAAGCCCTCGAAGACTTTTGTAACCCATCCCCTTGCAACATCGACACACAAGAGAAAACGTTACCCTGGGTAGCCGACACAGACCGCTGGGGCGAGTGCTCTCAGAGAAACACCTATGAAGGCCGACTTGGGCGCATGAGGTCGATTGGATGTGGCCGGCACCATTGAACTCGGGAGATGGGTGTTCGCGGCACGGTGTGCTAACCGCAGCGCCACCGCTGTTACCTAACGTCAACTGTTACGTAACGTGTGCACAAGCACACACACATGAATTACACGATTTATGGGTTAGAGATGTTAACTCCCTCGTCGCCTGGTATGCAGGATGGTCGTGGGTCCGACCCCAACCCTGACGCCTGTGTATGTAGAGTTGGCATGCTCTCCCCGTGGTCGCCTGGATTCTTCTCTGGGTTTTCCGGTTTCCCCTCTACATTTAGAATCAACGTGGGTTCAGAGTATTTGGCTGCTAGAAATGTCCACGCGGCGATAAGCCACTTCGTTGAGCTGCCGTTTGTGGCCAGGTCACTTCAGACAAAGGGCTATGTAGCTCAGTGGGCCTTGCCTGGTAAATCAAAATACAGTTCGTTCTCCTATAGCGCGGTATCTGCGTTCCTGAAGAACACCTCCTGATATAACTTAGGGTAAAGCACAGTCCGCGATAAAACGTGAGATGCGTACGCAGGCCGAACAAAGACTGATGTGCGTAGGCAGCATCTAGAAGCATCCAGCAGCATCCCAATGCTCTGTGGGGCGACGCTACGCTGAGGCAGCGACCGTGGTTCCGCTCACTCCATCGCCGTCGCAACCAATTTGGCATCCGCGTCACGACAAAAATGTTGTCCGCTATAATACATTGGCAGCGTTGACGTGCGCTGCTGTCACAGCCCTGCAAAGTGCGCAGCAACCGCCGACCCCCCCACAGGCCTTCAGGCCATGCTTCCACCCCCGCGTGAAAGCCGCCGTGTCACCCCATGATGATGCACCACCCCTGGCAAGCCCTGCGCCCTTGACCCCCCCCACCACCCAGTTGCCAGAACATTGCTCCCTGGACAGAAGCTCGCTTCTTCTCCTTCGCTCTGCTGTTCGGATAGGGAACCGCCTCTCTGATGAACACATTGTCGGGGAAATCACCGATTCTGGTGTTCAGGCCTTCGAATACCGAGCACACAGAGACATGGGACATCTCCTAACTTCACCACACACCTGGTAGTGAACCAATGATGATGCCGATTAGATGAACTAATGTCCGATATGCCTGCTGTTCACAATTGCACCCCAATGCAAAAAATCGATACGTCCAATTTCGCGCTTTTGAAAACAACACGAGTTACAGGAGAGGCAGAATGCAGTCAGTGAAGAGACTGAAAACAACAGACCACTTAACCGCCACGGTAGGCGTGCAAACGGATAGTCAGGTAGTGTGTTAAAGGCCTCCTATTGGTGCAGAGGCCTCAAAGCGGATTGGTTAGGGCCGGAGAATTGAACCAATTGGTTGAGAAATTAAAACGTAAAAGGCGGAGGGGGGGGGGGGAATCGAGGGCGGACTGCCGGGGAGACGTTTGACGATCGTTAGAGACGAGGTAGACGAGGGAAACGGGGGGGGGGGGGGGTCGAGGGATATAAAAGGAGCAGGAGTGGAAGGGGCGGCTGGAGAGAAGGTCAAGCATCGAGAAACGAAGAAGCCCGGGGCCTAGGAATAGCATTTGTATCTGCAATGAAGGGCTCTTGGACAAGCAAGGACGTGCGTCGACAGTCACCGCAGTAGCACGAAGTCACATAAATACATTTACAGAGTGAAGCTGCAACCCAAACGAACTCACTGCAGAGCTCATCTCACGCAGCTACACGCCCGGGCCGTCTGAAGCTGCGTCGATCGCAAACGCAGGGAAAGCTCGCGCACGCACACACACGTGTTCTGTGACGCTTTCCAACGCACGCTTTGTGTCCCCCCGGGGAAGGGGAGGGGCAGGGCATTTAATTAGCGGTGCTGGAAGCCGACGGGACGGGTGGCGGTGAGGGCAGGCGTGAGCTTGAACAGTCCCGGGCCGATCCGGCAAAATCCGCTCCACGGGCTGAAACCAGTCCGGCTATCGGCACCGTGTTCGTGTGTGTGTGACAAACAAAGTAGCTATGCTGGATTTCAGTGTTAATATTATATATATACAGGACATTCTACACTACATACAACTTAAACAATGAAATACTGCACGTGTATACATCATGCTGAGTATTCGAGATTGGTGGGAAGTACGGTGCAGAAAAAACAGAAACTTCTTAAAGCAGGATGTTTCAGCTCCTCTATTTATACAAATTTCATACAGCAAACAGATTTAAAACACTAAAAAACAAACAACACCTAACATCAATAATAGAGGTGTTTTGGTGAGATCGTGTAAATCTAAATGTGTCGTTAAACCCGCCACCCCCACCCACCACAGCCAATCAGCAAGGTTGTCACGTCAACAGAGCGTGCCACTTCAGGCTGTCGGCGCGAGCTGTAATTACTGGCAAAACGTCGCACTGGAATTGTAAATCTTGCAGGTGTTACTCTCCAACACACCGCTAAGTGCTGTGCTAGCAATAAATTGGCACGTTATGTTTACGTGACAAAAACCTAATTGGCTATGTCGAGGTGGTGGTGGTGGTTTAACGCCACATTTATAATTACGCCAGCTAACCCCAAAAAAGCCTCTATTGTGGGTTAGCTTGACCGTCTATAAATGGACGCGTTTGCCTGGCTCACGTCCCCCAGGTTGTAGGCAAAGCTTCGATCCAAGTGGCCAGTGGAACAGCAGCAGCACCACCCCACACTGAGGTTTCGTTCCGGATTGGATCATCCTTAGAGAGAGTTAGCGTGTGACAACCCTCCCCTCCCACCTCCTCCGCACCTCCGATGAGTACGGCTGGCTACATACGGTGGTGAGCGTACGTACCTACGTACCCCCACCCCTGCTTACGGACAGGGACAAGGTATAAAAAGTCCAATGATGTAGCTTCTAACCCTGAGCTGTTCGCCTTGTGGCATTGTTCCCTGGTCTGACACTGGTGAGACTAGGCCATAAAGACAGCTGTCTCTGGTCTAGGCCAGTTTCAAAGTCAATTCTATGTATTATCAGAGCATGTTTGTTGATGTGAACCCGATCCCTTGCAAAAGGTTCATATTTGGTGTTTGAACATCTGAACACCTCCTGTTTTATTGCCAGAAAGGTTAAACACATATTCTTATTTTTCATAAACGGACGACAGCCGACGCATAAACGCTCTCAACAACTTGCGTTGGAAAGCGCCAAACGGAACACGCCGAGCCCCCGCGCACACCGGTTCCATCACGAGCTGTAGTGACTCACATGACCGCCAGTCAGCAGCAAGTAACCAATTACTTTAATCGCCAATACAAACCCACCCGGACGCATTTTGCTTGTGCATTCCCAATCTTTGCTGCTCAACAATGTACGCATGTACGTTGAACTTCTTTCATACCGTACGTAGCCAACCGTGATAATGGTGTAGTGTACAGTAGTGTTTAGTGTACAGAAGTGTAGTGTATAGTGTACTGTATAGTGTAGTGTATAGTAGTGTGTCGTAGTGTAGTGTATAGTAGTGTAGTGTATAGTAGTGTGTCGTAGTGTAGTGTATAGTAGTGTAGTGTATAGTGTAAAGTGTAGTATGTATATCTATGGGTCTGTGTGAGTCTGTGGGTCTCTGTGTAAGTCTTTGTATGTACTGTATGTTGAACTTCTTTCACACCGTACATAGGCAACCTTGCTAATCCGAGGTGTGGGGGGGGGGACAATGAATGTGTTCATAGCCTAAGTTACACGGGTGTGTGTGTGTCCGTGTGTGTCTGTGTGGGGAGGCAGTGGCGAAGCGGTTAGTGCGCTGCGCTATGAACCCAGCGACTCGAGTTCGATTCCCGCCGATGGCCAGCATCAGTGAGGAATATCTGAATTGGTCCTGAGCCTCTCCTAGGTCGACTCAGCCTCAAATGCATACCTGATGTGATGTGTAAACGTCGCGACTGGGGAGACAAAAGGGGCCGACCGTGGTGTTGGCCACCCACCCCCTCGTATGCTGTGCCGACCTTCATAGGTGCTCGCTAACAGCACTTGGACTGACAGTCCGTTAAAGGTTATATGGGGGAGCTTTGTCTTTGGGGAGGCAGTCACCCTCCAGCAACAGCGGAGGGCAGAGAAGCGACGCTCACAAGGAGCGGAGCGCCGAGCGGCTAATATGCAGCAAGTTGGCACAGTAGGGGGCACACAGGTGGTGCATCTGCCAGTCATCTCAGTCGGTCAACCCGTGGCACCTGCTAGGTCTGTCCAGTGACCTCTTGCCAGCGGAGCCTACGAAACTTCAAGTGGCCTCAAAGTGGAAGCAGCCTGGCACAAGCGCCTTGATAACTTCTCAGATATTTAGTGGCGAGCGGCAGTTGTTGTTGCGAGTGGGTGAGCGAGTGCGAATCAGCGAGTTGTCGTGACCCGCAGTGTGGTGGTGGCGGTGGTGGCGGAGCGGTGTGGATGACACGAGGCTGTCAGTGTCTTGTCACTCAGGAATCGGCGCGTGGCGACGTTCACACGGAATAAGCAGCCACGGTAGCAGCAGCAACAGAAGAGCAATAAGGAGGCGGATCACCGTCGGGAGGCCCACGATAACCGTGGCGCGGTGATTTTGCCCACCTTCTCCGTGCCGTAGAGCTCCTCCTTGATGTGGCCTCCACCAAACTCCTTCTTCACCGTGGCCCGGGTCGCCGCGTACAGCATCTTCTGACGCACCTAGGAGGGGGCGGTACGCGGGGTGGGGGACAGGCAGGGGTGATACTTTTGCTCTTGTGTACACACACGATCGCGTTTGCATACCCGTGATTGTGTACCGATGTAATGGCAATAGAGCCTGCATGCAGTGTGAGGGGACTAGTGACCACGGGAGGTAATGACAGGGGAGTCAGCCTACAGTACGAGTGCACTAGTGGCCACAGCAGGTAATGACAGTGGTATCAGTTGCGAGTGCGAAGGGACCGGTGGTTACGGGAATGATTGAGAAGAGGAGCGTGGTCAGGTGACGGAAGAGGACGGTGGAGTCTGCCGGTGGAGCGAGAAGGGGGGCGTGGCCTCGTGTTGTTATATAAGGGGGAGATGCGCGGGAGACTACACACGACGCTATACACGACGCTAAACACTACACTATACACTACAATACACCGCAGTATACAGTACACTATACGCTCCACCTCCATACACTAAACACTAAACACTACTATAAACTGCACTATACACTACAATACACCGCAGTATACAGTACACTATACGCTCCACCTCCATACACTAAACACTAAACACTACTATAAACTACACTATACACTACACCATTAGCACGGCTGGCTATGTACGGTACGTACACTGTTTAGCAGCGGGTGTGTGTGTGTGCGTGTGTGTGAGCATGCGTGCACGTGTGTGTGTGTGTGCATGCGTGCACGTGTGTGTGCATGTGCGTGTGCATGTGCGTGTGCATGTGTGCGTGTGTGAGCGTGTGTGTGCGTGTGAGTGTGCGTGTGAGTGCGTGCGCGTGTGTGTGCATGTGTGCGTGTGCGTGTGCATGTGCGTGTGCATGTGCGTGCGCATGTGCGTGCGTAACGAACCGGTGAGCTATCGGGACACCAGGTGATGAAGAGCCACTCGTGCCCCTGCGGGTTCTGCGAGTCGAGGCGGTACAGCAGGTAGCACGGCTGCTCGGGCTCCAGCACCGACTGGACCAGCGCGTCGTACTCCGCGTCCCACGCCTGCCCCGGCCGCCGCTCTTCGGCCAGCACCAGCGTCTCTGTGCCTGGCGAGCGGCGAGCGGCGCGTCGTTAGCGTGGCCGGCGGCCACCGAAACCAGCCCCGGACGAAGTCGGCAACGCTTTCCAAATCATTTTCATTTTTTATAACCAGGTAAGGTCCCCAAGTGAGCTACATAGCTAGTTTTCACAAGCAGAATGTTTATCGATGCTGGAGGAGGAATCCGATGAGCTACGTAGCTCTTGTTCGCGAATGTCCAATAGGGGGCAGTGGGGTCGGAAAGTGACAACAACAAGCAGTGCAACGACGCGGGCAGCAGCGCGATGCATAGCAAAGGTAAGCAAATCACTAAAATAAATTGAAGCTACAACTATTTATATTTTACAAGATAATGCCCCACCGAGCTATGTAGGCCTTTTGCAGAAGTGGCCGTGGGCACAAATGATCGCTCAACGAAGTAGGCTTATCATCCTAGATTTGAAGTTTTCGTGACTGCAAGGATCCATACTCTTTGGTTCTTTCGGTAAAGTCACGTAGGTGAAAAAAACCCATACATTTTATTTAAACTATTTTTATTTACGATTCTTTTTTCACCTACGTGACTTTACAGAAAGAACCCAAGAGGCTTACCATCGTCACGTGGAAATGTCACGGCAGCCAAACACTTTAAACGCGTGACGTTGATTCTGAACGCGGAGGGAAAAACCGGAGGACCCGGAGAAAAATCCACGCGACCACGGGGAGAGAGACACCGCAAACTTCAAATATACTGCAGGCATCAGGGTCAGGATCAAATTCCCGACCTCCTGCGTACCAGGCGAGGGAGTTAACATCTCGCCACGGTGGTGAAGCTAAGATTGACGGCACTGAAACGGGGCGGGTTGTCCAATATGAACGATTGCAGCGAACGAGGGGCGAGTCAGTGGAGCGGCTGGTGGCCAAGCTGTCGCTGCTGCACGTGGCCGTTGCCTGTGACCCAATGCCGCAGCAGAGGCAGCGGCGAGGGTTGATGGATCACGCACAGATGATGCTAAGCTCCCTTCTATCCCTGGGCATTGAGGAGGTGCCGTACTCTGGCTCGCCAGGAGAATGCGATGCAGCAAGGTGTTGACTGACAGTGTCTGCTGTCCCTTCTGTACGGGGATAGGGCGTTGCCCCCTCTCATGGCGTGGGTTTTCTCCAGGTGCTCCAGTTGCCTCCCTCCCACATGGCCGAAAACATCTTAATACGTAGAGAACTGCAGAGCAATAGTTTGGCGGCGGCTCACCGCCTGGCAGCCCTCCAGCTCGTGCGTCTGTGGTTCCGACTCGGCGATTGTGAGGACATTTGCATGAACGACGCGATATTAAATTAATCAAACATTTACTTATTTTATGAGTGAATGGATGATGAAGTGATTGGGTGACTCAATTAATAAATGCGCAAATGAACGAACGAATTCGGGTAATGAATGAGTAGGTGAATGAGTTGAGTAGATGAGTGAATGAGCAAGTGCGTAGGTCAGCGGTTCTCAACCTGGGGGTGCACGCCACCGCCTGGCGGTGCGAGATGCCCTTTCTGGGGGTGCGAGACATGGCCAGATGTTTTTTTAGAAGGTAAATCGAAAACCCATATTAAGCACGGTTACAACTTACTTTGTTGTAACTTACTTTGTTGTATTTATTCACGTTATAAATTGTTCTAAACAATTGAGAACCCAAGGGGGTGCAAGGCTGCAGTAAAGGTTTAAGAACCGCTGGTGTAGGTGAATGAATGAGTAGGTGGCCGATTCAACAACTGATTGAGTGAGTGAATGGATCACTGCAGCAGCGATCGGTGAGTGCAGAAGCGGCAGCGAACCATCGTCGATGGCGATCTTGATCAACCGCACGTCCCCTCCGCGTGCTCGCCCCAAGAAGTCGCGCAGGTCCTGGGACGCTGGGGCACAAACAAAGACAAAGATCCCCCGTGCAGTGTTACACAGACTGTTGGGGCAAGTGCTGTTCGCGAGCACCTATGAAGGCCGGCACGCCAAACGAGGGGGTAGGTGGCCAGCACCACGCTTGACTGCCTTTGTCTCCCCAATGGCGATGTTCACACATGGCACTGCGTATTCATTTGAGGCCGAGTCGACCTACGGGAGGCCCAAGACCGGTTCGGATAGTCGTCACTGGTCTTGGCCGTGAGCGGGAATCGAACGCGGGTCGCTGGGTTCGTAGCGCAGTGCGCTAAACGCGACACCACCGCTCCCCTTTGTTCATTAGACAGCCATCACAGATACGGGCGCACAACACACACGTACAACAAGAACCGCCGCTCGACACCAAGTGGCGGTGACGTCACCACGGCGCTTGTGCCAGGCCAGGTGCACCTGGAGGCCATCACGTGAAGTGTCAAAGGCTCGCTGGCAGGTCATGAAACAGACCCGGGTGCCATGGATTGACCGACTGAGATGATTGGCAGATGCACCAACTGTGCTCACCACTGTGACAACTTGCAGCATCTTTCAAATCCTGCAACACTAGTCCTGTGAACCAGCCGGTTGCAATGATGTACATACGGGGACAAAGATCCTTCAACAGTGTTGGGGCAAGCGGTTAGCGAGCACTTATGAAGGCCGGCATAGCACACGAGGGGGGAGGATAGCAAAAACCACGCCCGTCCGCCTTTGTCTCCCCAGTGCTGATGCTGACACATCGCACAAAGGTACTCGGTTTAAAAGGCTGAGTCGTCCAAGGGGAGGCCCAGGATCAGTTCAGATAATCGTCACTTGTGTTGGCTGTGAGTCAACGGGTTCGTAGGGCAGCGCGCTAACTACAGCGCCACCGCTCCCCAGCAACACACACAAACACACACTCGCACACAGACACACTCACTCGCCGCACGCAATGCGTATTTCTGGTCGGACCGTTTATCACAAGGTCAGGGTTATTTAGAGGTGAATGAAATGCGTCTGCATTGTTTTTTTTCTACGTGTTGACACGCTATCAATTTTCACAATATCCGCCCGGTACCTTTCCCAAAATGTATTCTAATCGTATTTAGCGAATCTGTGCAGCTCACTGCAGCTCGTTACTTCCATCTCCCTCTCTTCCCTCCTCTCTCATCATCAAGATGTTAACTACCTCGCCTGATATACAGGAGGTCGAGGGTTCGATCCCAACCCTGACGCCTCGATATTTGGAGTCTGCGTGTTCACCCCGTGGTCACGTGGATTTTTCTTCGGGTCCTCCGGTTTTCCCCTCCACATTTAGCGTCACGCGTTTAGAATATTTGGCCGCTATAAATGTCCACGTGATAAGCCACTTCGTTGAGCAATCATTTGTGGCCAAGTCGCTTCTAAAAAAGAACTATATAGCAGCACAGTGGGTCTTCCCTGGCGAAATAAAAAGTTTAGTTTGTTTAGTATACTCACCACCCCTCTCATCTCTGACATCTGGGCCCAGTCATCCCTTTCCCCCTTCTCCCCAGCTCTCCTTCTTTGTCCCTGACGCTCATCATCTTTTATTCCGGTCATCCTCGCAGCAAAAGCAGCAGCGGCTTTTGGCTGCTGGCCATCGAACAAAACGGTGGTCACCGCATCGCGTGGCGCTTTCAGGTGAGCTTCTGCGGCCGTCTGGAACGCTCTTCCCTTCCGATATTAGGAAGCCACTGGAGCTATGCACTTTAAATCTAGAATGAAAACTCTTTTGAGAACTGCTTTCTGTGTTTAGTTTGTTGACCTTCCCCGTGCACCTCCGATTAACGCGAGTGGCTACGCACGGTGCGAAAGAAGTTCAACATATATACATACATTAGGACGTGAACACGGGCACAACATTTCATCATTGCAACTTTACCAATGCTAATGGTTTCAACGCAGCCGCTGTCAGCTACGCAAGAAGGCAGTCTCCGAATACTTCCCAGTCGTCTATCGGCTTACTCTCAGTTTTGATGCACGCCCGCATATTTACACCTCTAAATCATTGCGTTGGCTCTTTCGCAACGTACAGAGAAGCAAGACGAACTGAGATGCATTCTGCAAAACGGAGGACACGCCTATCGTGGGCCCTCCCCACCATCGTCATCCTCAGCCATTGTCTATCCACTGATGGATGATGGCCCTCCCAGGCCACCGACGCCACCACCGGCCACGATCCAGTGCGTGGTTCATTCCGTTTTCACTCCCGCACGTAACCTTATCTCACCGCTCCATCTCCGCGGTGGTCAGACCTCCTGCTGCGGTTCCCGTCATCAGTCTCGGCCATCGCCCTCCGTCTAAGCAACTCCCGCCCTTGCCCATTTGGGGCTCTGCGGTGGTGAGATGTTAACTCCCTCGCCTGGTACGCAGGAGGTTGCGGGTTCGATTCCCGACCCTGATGCCTGCAGTATATTTGGAGCTTGCACGTATCTCTCCCTGTGGAAGCGTGGATTTGTCTCTGGGTCCTCGGTTTTTTCCCCCACCACATTTAGAATCAGTATTTGGCTGTTGTAAATTTCCACGCGATGATGAGCCACTTCGATTAGCTATCATACGCGGTAGCCAGGTACGCTTCTGAAGAAGAGCTACACAGCTCTGTGGGCCTTGCCTGATGAGAAAAACATCGTTTAATCGTTTAAAATAAAATAGTTTGATAGTTTTCATTTAATTCCCTTAAATTCGCGGAACTTCCATCGCATGACGTGTCGTCGTGTCGCCGTATCACGGCCAAACTGGACATCCGTGAAAAAAAGGGATTTTTAGCTCATCAGATTTCCCCAGTATATATATTCAGATTGTAAATGTTGTGGCCTTGCTCTCCAACACACCGATGTACTGTACTAGTAATGAATTGGCACGTTCTGTTCACGTGACAAACCTTACTAACTGGCCGTGTCAGGTGGTGGCGGGTTTATGTTCACGCGATCTAACCCAAAACACCTTCATTATGTATATACGTAAAGACCGATGCTGAAAATATTGTGAAAGGCGGCTGCAACACTTCCGCAGGTCTGCACCAAAACAAGGAATTGAGGGACTTGTCTTGGAAAGCCACAGACGCTGAGAAAACAAAACCGGCCGAGGACTACGCCCACCAGACTTGGCACAGCGCGCCCGTCCCGCCCGCGGCGCGCGGTAGGGCCCCGTTTTTTTACGACGTCTATCTCGGATCCCACGTCGCCCGCAGCGCCGGCGATTGGCAACCCACTCCCCGCGGGAACTAACAATGCGTGTTTTTATGATTATTATTATTATTATTCTCCACGCCACAACGCTCGGGGGGGAGGGGGGTGGGGCGCAGCGAGCGGCGTTACGGAGAAAAATGTGGCGATCAGAAAATGTTGCGGTCCTGTGATGGAACGCAGTCAAAAGCAAGGCCAATTTTGCCGGTGCGTTAACGATTCATCGATTAAATCCCGATTCTTAGGCTCACGGTAGAGGCGTGCTATCGTGTGAGTGCGAATGAAAATATTATTCTGTATTTGCAACGAGTGGCAAAGAAAAACTCAAAACATTCGTCGGCGGCACCGCCTTAAGAGGAAATGCACATAACGGACGAGGTTTCAGTCAACGGCTCTCCTTCGTTGCTGTGCTATTATACGTCGCACATTCAATACTTTTCCTTTCGAGGCCACAGTGTCATTGCCGTGTGTTCGTTCGTTTCTCAATCCGCCTGTCCTGGTGAGGGTCACGGTGCCAGTAGCGTGTTGAGTAGGGCGGTCCAGACCTCCCTTTCCCTGGCGACGGACTCCAGTACAACTACACTATACACTACACTCTACTATACATTACACACTACACTCTACTATACATTAAACACTACACTATACATTATACACTACTATACACTATTACACTATACACAACTATACACTATTACACTACTATACATTACTATACACGATATACTACACTACACTATTAACTACTACACTATACACAGACTCTAGCTCTTCTTGGGGTATTCCCAGGCGTTTCCAAGCCAGCCGAGCGACATCGTCCCGCCAGCAGCGTGTCCTGGGCCGGCCCCAGGGTCTTCGCTCACTCAGTGTATCGAGTTTTTATGTAATTTCTGCTCATACAGCGCCGTCAGTGCAGCGTCGCCACGTAAATTGTCGATCCGTGGGCGTGGGTGCCGTACATTAGTTCACGCGAACCCGACAGCCACAGACCCACAATGGCAGAAACCACAATCGATTAATGAATAGAATTGTGACCTCATTAGTCTTGACGACTGGCCATCATCCCAACGAGCCTTGACGTTCACTGCTCAAGCCCACAACTGTACTTATTTAAGTCTCATACTGATCCATTTCCTCATCTTCCCGTCTCAATTTTGTTCCACCCCCTCTCCTGTTTCCCCTTGCCTGGTACACAGGAGGTTGTGGGGCTCAATCCTGATACTGACGATGCCTGTTATATATTCCGAGTTTGTCTCTCTCATCATCATCACGGTGGATGGGGGATGTTAACTACCTCGCCTGACCATGAGGCCTGTATATTTGGAGTTTGCATTTCACCCCGCGAGCACGTGCATTTTTTTCTGGGTCCTCCGGTTTTTCCCTTAACAATTATAATTATCAACATTACGCGTTTAAAGCATTTGGCTGCTAGAAATATCCACACGATGATAAACCCATTAATTTAACCTTCATTTGTGGACAGGCCGCTTCTGAAAAATAGCTCTATAAGCTCAGTGGGGCCTTACCTGGTAAAATATAAAATAGTTAACCATTTTAATAGTTTGGTCTGCAGAAAGGGCTAACGATGCACAGAAATGATGGCATAACAACTGCAAAACGCCACTTAGAAGCAAGGGTTGGTGGACCGCGCAGACATCTGTGAAAACTACAAACCCTCTAAAAGCTGCGAGGGGGCTAGTTCAGCAAGTGTATTCACGAACCCATACGTATGGATCCTTGAGAATTCCGAGTTGAAAAAAATGTCCATCCATTGAATGCTGAAATGCCACCAGAAT